TTCCTAGCCCGTTAGCGGCGCATTACATACATACTCATATGAATAAATGATAAAAAGTACCCGTCTACCATCGAGCGAACAAACTGTAACACTGCGAGGTCTGACGGTTTGTGCGAAGTGAAACCCGCTGATGAATCGGGCTAGGTTATGTGTGCAATACGGACAATAAAGATGACGGCTGCTGTACACATCCACTCGTACGCTTCATTCATCTAGCTGGGACGCTACAACCACCACTTCATGACATCACAAGGTGGAATTTGAGGAGGATTTTGAGCTTTGGAGATGTAGACAGACTAATAATGCAGGATTACTCAAACATGTGTGAATGAAACAAAACTACAGGTCTGTTTTTGACAACGTAAGAACATTCTGACATGACTTAAAGCTGCATTGTGTAACTTTTCAAATGCTTTTCTCCTTGGAAATGTAATTGCTTTGTCTGGAATGTTTCACAGTATGGCATTAAACAAACAAACAAGCTCAAGTTACAGGTCAGATCTGTTTTTTGGGGGGTGTTTTTGAGCTATAAAACCACTTGTAACTGAATAAATGTAAAGTAGAGCCGTTTAATGTCATACTGTGGAACATTTCAGGCGGAACAATAACATCACCATGGAAACAAGCAGGTGACGGACCAACCGGCAACCAAAAAGTTACACAGGTCACCTTTAAAGCTCACAAGAGTCTATTTTTTATTTAATTTTTTTTTTTGCCTAATATGACCTTAAAAAGATCATGTCATAAAAATTGAAACAAAAACAAAAAATCTGTGTTTTAATTTATTTACAACAAATTTAAATGTACAAAGATTTACAGATTTACAGACATTTTTCAATTTAAGAAACTAAAGCATCATCATCTTGAGTATCTAGTAGAGAAGGTCCCTCCACTTAAGTAAGACTCCACTTTGCTGTCATAAATAAATGGACATTCTATCACATTATTGTTTGCATAGTGTAATATTAAAGGGGCCATATTATAATATTCTGATCTGTTATAATGTTATTTTCTCATCAAAAACAGACCTGGAGTTGTGTTTTGTTTAACACTGAATAATTTCAGCCCTGGAATTTCCAATCTTTCCTGAACCAAAGGTAAAATGTAGCTCTGGAAAATATCACAAGGTGGATCAGAGCATTTTGAGCTTTGAAGATGTTCAACCTTTTTCCTCTGGTGACCTACGAGAGCTTCTAGTTTTAGCGGTCACAAGAAATTAAGCCTTAGATGAGGTACAGTTAGATTAGGGTGACCAGATTTTCTGAATTCTAAACTGGGACACACCCGGGTTGGGATGGTTGGTATAAATAAAATTAGGAAAAGAGCGTGTAACATTCTCGTGTCAGTCAAATCTGAGGGACTTTTGCATTATTGTCATTCGCAAACACGTTTTTTTATATTTTGGCTAAACAAATGATAGTCTATGCTCTTCTTTAATGTTGGCGAGGATCAGATTAGTCAAGAATTGTGATAGTCCTGGTTTAGTCCTGTTTTAGACCTGGTGTAGTCCTGGTTTAGTCCTAGTTTAGATCAGATTGGTCCAAAATAGGGACAGTTGGGACAAGAAATTGAGCCTTAGATGAGGTACAGTTAGATTAGGGCGACCAGATTTTCAGAATTCTAAACTGGGACACACCCGGGTTGGGATGGTTGGTATAAATAAAATTAGGAAAAGAGTGTGTAACATTCTCGCATCAATCATAACCTGAGGGACTTTTGATGCTGATTTTTATTTTTTTTGCATTATTGTCATTTGCAAACACGTTTTTTTCTGTATTTTGGCTAAACAAATGACAGTTTATGCTCCTCTTTACTGTTTGCGAGGGGCAGACTAGTCAAGAATTGTGATAATCCTGTTTTAGTCTTGGTTTAGACCTGGTGTAGTCCTGGTTTAGTCTTAGTTTAGATCAGACTGGTCCAAAATAGGGACAGCTGGGACTAGAAATTGGTACAGTTAGATTAGGGTGACCAGACTTTTTAAAATTCTAAACTGGGACACATCCAGGTTGGGATGGTTGGTATAAATAAAATTGTGAAAAGAGCGTGTAACATTGTGGATTCTCGTGTCAGTCATAATCTGAGGGACTTCTGACGCTGAATTTTTTTGCTTTATGGTCATTCGTAAACACATTTTTCTGTATTTTGGTGAAACAAATGACAATTTATGCTCCTCTTTACTGTTGCTGAGGATCAGATTAGT